CTGTAGCTCAAGTGGTAGAGCGCTCGCCTTGAGCTGAAGAGCTGAGGGACGGTGCCCAGGCCCAGAGTTCAAGCCCCACGACCGACAAAAAAAAAAAAAAAATCTCTTCCTGGAAAGAACTTCAAGGCTGGACCGGTACTGGCAGATGCCGTGCGGGTCCCAGGCTGGGCGGGCGTGCTGCCTCTGTGGGCTCTGGCTTACGATCATGTTCTCCAGCGCATGCTTGGCCAGCCAGCAGTTGAGAAACACGGGGATGAACATGTTCCGCAGTGGCGGCCAGAAGACCTGTGAGGGGAGCCGGTCAGGGCCTGGCTGGCGGTGGCAGGCCCCTCCCCCCACACCCTGACCCCCAGCGCAGGGCTCACCCACCGTGATGATGAAGGGCAGCGTGTTGATCATCTCCAGGATGAAGGACACACGGAAGATCTGCTCCCAGATGTTGCCCTGGAGGCCAAAGGGGCTTCAGAGTGGGGTGGGGAGGACGGGGCAAGGGGTGGGGAGGCACAGGAGGAGGGAGGGAGGTGTGGGGAGGGTGTGGCAGAGGGGAGGGGAGGACTAGGAGAGGCTGGGGCTGCAGGGCAGGAGGGGCAGAAGACCTACCTATGAGGCCAGGGAGCAGGGAGGGAGGGGAGGTGGGGGCCTGGGGAGGTGGGGGAGCAGGGTGGGGAGGGGGGTGGGCAAGGAGGCGGGTGGGCAGGCCCCTCCCACAGGACTCACTTTGTAGCTGAGGTAAATGAGGAGCATGGTCTCCAGGAAGCTAATGGTGGCCACAATCACCTGTGTGGAGAAGACAGGCTTGGAGTAGAGGTGCGGCTGAGGACAGGGCCTGCCCAGGAGGGGTCAGCAGGTCCACAGCGAAGATGAGTGTGCTGAGGGAGGGACGGGGCCTTTGGCCTGTGAGAGCAGCTGCCATCCCAGGACCCGGCACGGCGCCAGCGCGGACCCCAGAGAAGCAGGCAGGGTGCGGTGGGCCGTGGGGGGGCTGGGAGCGCGGACCCCAGAGAAGCAGGCAGGGTGCGGTGGGCCGTG